ATCAGATAAATTTTAGAGGGATCCTAACCCTTCCTGCCTCTACTGCTAGAAAGGCATGTTACTTAGTTCCCGCCTTGTTTCTCTCACTCCTCTCTGGCCTGTGACCAGAAACAAGCAGGGTCGTTCACAGGAGCTTAGCCCAATGCCTGCTACATAATGAACGCCACAGAAACATCAACTTTTAGTCCTACCACAGGCCAAGGAGTCGTTTCATATCAGTGTACTTCACGGGCTGCTTGCCGTGTGTGCCCAAACTGTCTCTCCTCCCGTTGCCAAGAGGTTCCACCTCTCACTGGATGGCCCCATCTGTCTGTGTCCCTGGCCACTCTGACGAGGTCCATGGCCTGTGCCAACTGTGAGGCACCTCATCCCCCTCTACCTCCAGGGATTGGCTTTAGCCGCTTCCCCCAGCTTTGTCCTGATTGGGACCCCGGCTGTGGTCACTTGGATGGCCTCTCCTGCCCTCCTCACCTTAACATGTTCTGATCGATAACCCCACTCCATCGAGTCATCTGGACCCCGCTGACTGGAGCTCCCTGGCATGGGCGCACTGCCCCTCCTCCACTCAGCTGTGGCCCCGGGCACCTCAAGGTCAGGACCACCGCATTTACCCCCAGTGCCAGCCAGCGCGGAGGAGAGTCGTTTCCCTCCTGATTTGACTTCGTAGACCCTTAGCCCGCTGGCATGCCTATGACTTAAGGAAGGGAGAGCGGTTGGCTATCAGAGGTTCTCAGATTTTGCTATGCATCCAAGTTACCTGCGGGGCTTTTGGAAATACAGCCTGCTAACCTCACAGCCAGAGATTCCCTTGAGGAGGCAAAACCAGCCTCACGGGCTGCAAGCTCTGCAGCCACACAGGACCCCACACTCAAAAGAAGCCCATGATTGGCTTAATGATCTGCTGTCACTGTCTTGAAATTGTTAATTTTTTTATTGTTGACACTATTACGGATGTCCCCCACCTTCTCCTTTGCCCCCTCCCCCGGCACCCCGCGCCCTCACCGCATTGTGTCTGTGCCCATCGGGGTCCTGCATGTTCATTGTGCGCTGGGTCCCATGTATTACAGCCAGTCCTGAGGTGGAGGTATTAAGCGAAGAAAAAAAAAGGAAGAAGAAGGAAAAAAAGACAGGCAGACAGATTCATAGACACAGACGACGGTATGGCAGCTGTCAGAGGGAAGCAGGGTAGAAGGAGGTAGAAGAAGGTAAAGGGGGGATACATAGTGATGGAAGGAGACTTGACTTGGGGTGATAAACACACAATACAATACACAGAGAATGTAGTATAGAACTGTACACCAGAAACCTATATAATTTTATGAACCAATGTCACCCCCAATAAATTCAATAAACTAAAAATCAAAACAATAGCCAGTCCTGTCAGTAGGTCCAGAATGGAGCTTGAGAATGTGCATTTCCCACAAGTCCCCGGGGCAGCAGAGGCTGCCGCGGGGAACCACTGACTGAGACTTGGCAGGGTCAGCCCAAAGGACAGAGGAAAGGGCCAGCGGCTCCACCTCCTCCCTCTCATCTCTGCTTGATAAGCTCTGATCATAGCCATGGAAACGGAGGAAGAGAGTGTGGCGGTTTCCATTATTTGTATTATTGTTATCGTTATTGTCTTAACGCTGTTTTGTGTTAACCAAACTGAATGTTCTCATGAAGCATGCTGCCCTTTCAAGCCCCCCAACAATTAATGTGGGTATGATTTCCCTGTCTGAGTATCAGTCAAAAACAATTTATTGAAACAGCTTGAAAGAATATGTAAAGTGGAACAATATTGTGGTAAGTAACTTGAGAAGCTGGGGACAGGAAAATAATGGAAAGAGTGAGAGGATAAGATGCGGTTGGGGTGTGAAATGCACAGAGGCATGCCGGAAGCCCCAGTGTACCGGGGCAAGTGGAGCCCCAATCCCTCAGAGCCTTTTAGCAGCCTTTGCACAGAGAGATACATTGTTACCTGATGCATAGTTCCATAGGACTAAATAGCTATTTCCTTGGCAGACACCCAAGTGTCCCTAGTACTGAGACTTAAGAGAAACTTCTTTCACAGAGTGTGTTTCTTTATGCACTTAATTGTTGGCTGAATCTGCAACTTAGAGTATTTTGTTGAATGTACTTTCTTCTGTATGTTTCGTAAGACAGATGAGCAAGACATGAGACAGAACTAGGAGGGGTCTCCATGAGCTAAAATATGACCTTTCCAAACCTTTTCTCCCAATGTCAGGGGCCAAAAGGTGCTTGCAGCTCTGATAGTTATTTTGTTTTGGGAATAAATTGACTTGACTCTCTTGAAAAACATCCCATAAAATAAAGCCACATGTACCCACTGATTCTTACTGAGGAGACATAAGACATTTCCATTAATGACTAGAAAAGTGTCAACTGAACAAGGAAATAAACTGAAATTCATCCAGTAATATAATTTCTAGCCTTGGTCAGAACATAGAACCCTAATTCTGAGTTGAGCTCCTTGTACCTACCAGATCGATGCATTCAATTTTTCTCATTCTCATAGTCAAGTTTCCTCAACCGGAGCTGAGCCCATGATAAGTGTGCAGTTGTTTTGATATCTGTCCCTCCACTAGAATTAGGGAGGCTTTTTTCCCTTTGATTAGATATGGAGGAGAAATCGTATTTTCCCCCACTTTCCAGCAGAAGTAGTAAGTTTCTTTTAATTTTCCGTAATTCATGGGAGGCCTACAGTGTTTCTGGAAAATCACCCTCGTGGCTGTCCTCTGGCCCTTTCCCATAAGATAATTTGTCATCAGTTTAAAAAGGAGGCAAAGGAAGGACATATTTATTCCACGTGCGTAAGATATTCCCTCAGCAAGAGTGCTCGAGGCCGTGACTGCCTCAGTGACCGGCGAAGCGTGTCACATACTAAGAGGTTTTTCCCTGGACACTAGCCCCTCTGGGGGGCCCCGGAAGAAGCAGCAAGATCCCCTGTAAACGCCCTCCCTCCATGTTGCATGCAAAGCCATTTCATTAGGAAAGGATTACTCAGGCATGTGTTTACTCTCTTTAAGATCACAGAAGATTTGTTTTGAAAAATTAAACCAAAAGAAGGCAAAGACTAGTCAAGAGAAGTGAAGTTGGGGGGGGGGGGGAACAGAAGCAGGTTCCGGGACTTCTAATCAATCTGTGATCATTTCCCTTTAAGATGTTGTCAGGGCCACTATTTTGAGGAAGGTAGAAAATACAGATGTTGACAGGTAAGACTTGCGACGCTCTTTTCACGCTCCCGACATCCTCGTTCTCCTGTTCCATTCACATTGTCGCTGTTGTTTCTGTTGCTGTGACGATTCATGCACATAAAAATATAATGGATATGCTAATTAGTATGTTTTATATCCATTTGTAAAAGAACTGGTACGTTGTAGAATCACTTCAGAGGTATTTAAATGCAATGCACGCTAGTTAATGGTCATACGTTCGTCTTCTGAGCCATTTTGTACATGAAACTGTTCCACAGTAGCGTCATCCTTATCATCATTGTCATAGGAAGGACGGATTTACTTAATACCGAGTGTTTGAGGGCGGGAAGAAAAGTTGTCCATAAAGCCGTAATGAACTTCACCTAAAGTTTCAGAGTTTCATCTGAATTGTTTTTAATTCAGGGTGCTGAGAACAGTAAAAGTTGTCTCCCATTTTTTTCTTTACTTAACAAATAGTGAGCATCGCACTTTAGTTTTATTTATTTATTTAACGGCTGCAAAGATACACTCACATACACACTCATATATCCTGGATTGTGTAAAACCTGAGGTAGACTTTTCCAAATAGCTGCGGGAGTTTTAGTCTGACAGGGAATACATATTTCAGATGCTACTGCAAACAGAATGAGTCCTTCACACAACACTAAAATCTGGGCCACTTTTCAATCAACTTCGAGGCATGATCTAGTAATTAAAATCTCATTTGATGAAATGATATCCCATGGCCAGAAAGAATCAGTACAATATAAAAATAATCACAAAATATTCACTGCAATCAATTTAATCAATTGGTTGCTATTACTTTAATAAGATAAAAGATTCATTTAAAAATATAAATATTTAGTTAAATGAATCTCTTAAATTCAGGATCATTGATGGTTGGTACATGTACTTTTAGTAAATTACATGCTGTATTTTAAAGATATCAAATGTGAATCCCAAGTTATCTTTTGTTAAACTAAATGTCTTACATGCCCTGAATATATTGTCGAGTTCAGCCTATTTGTAAATTACATGTTTGGTTAGTATTTTAATCAAATATGCATAATCTTCTGATTTGCCTGTGTTTATGAGCACACACTCCCACACATGTAGCCATAAATACGGCTGGTTGATCAAAATAATGGCATTTCAGTCTTTGGGGTTTCTTTCATTCCTTTATAGTCAATGCCTGGTGGTGAGTTTTTTTCTTTTCACACATATATATCGCTCCTCAGTTTGCCCACGACTCTCTTCTCTTTGCAGACATCTCTGTCTTTGTAAAGCCTTTCTTCAAGTCGTATTTCCAACAGGATGTCAGTCCCTTTTAAAATCCAATGAGTGCATTTTGTTCTTCTTGCCCCAAACAGAACCACCTTTTCTCTTTGACAAAAAAAGTTTGTTTCTTTCTGACACTTTTAACGTTTTGTACTCTTTTCATAGTTTTTGAGGAATCTTCCATAAGCGTTCAGACTTTACCTTTGAATTGAAAAGCAGTTTCATCCAACAGGCGTCTCCCCGAGGCGCACTGGGGAAGACAGGGATCCATCTCCGGCTCATCCTTCCCCCGCCCTTCGCCTTAACATTTCAGTCCCATGCGTTGAGCTTTGCTGCCCTCTGCTGACTATTTCTTGGAAACGCTTTCACCGTGTGGATGTGAGTCTTGGAACATCGCTGAAAAGGTCTTTCTGTTCGTTTCAGCCATGCATTCTCCTCCTGTCATTTGTGTAAGGGTGACATTGTTTGAATCTGGTCACTGATTGCTAGCACGCTCACACATCTGTAACTGTCTCCTTGTGCCAGAAGCCCTGACATGCTGCAGTCGGAAGTTTCCTTTTCCGTGGGAGGAAGGCACTCATCCACAGACTCCAACAAGGCCTCCAGCGGAGACCTCTCCCCTTACGACAACAACTCCCCAGTGCTGTCCGAGCGCTCCCTGCTGGCTATGCAAGAGAACACGGCCCCGGAGGGCTCGGAGAAGCTTTACAAAGGACCGGAGCAGTATACGCTGGTGGGCCGCTTGCCGTCGTTGAAGTCACGGGAGAGTTCTCCCGGACCGAGGCTTGGCAAAGGTAACTGCAGCTTGGCGGGCGCTGGCCGAGCCAGTGACTCTGCGTGTGGCATGGGCTCTTAGGGCCTTCTCTTCATCCCCTTCGAGGTTTATGCTTCTATAGTTCGGTGAGCATTTACCGAGCACCTGCTGAGAATCTTCTCTTTGGGAAGTCGAAGGTGTGGTGAGCTCAGTCATTGTCTTGGAAGGTCCCTGTGGCCCACGACGTCTGGGAAGCAATGTCATGGCGAGAGCGACTGATATTCCCAGCGGACTCTTTTCCTTCCAGCATCCCAGGGTGTGTGTCCTAGCCAGTGAATTTGGGTGCATAGTTGCTAGTCTAAGATGTGATCCAATTATTGCTGTTACTTGTATAAAGAGAACAAGCTGAACCTACTATATAACAAGACATCATGTTCCAGAAAGAACATAACGTTAGTCTCCAGGGAGATTAACATTTTTAGGCAAAATAAGGGTGTCATGGTCAAAGACATTTGGGAACTGGTGTCTCTATTGTACAATTTCTCAGACTCTTAAAAGTGCTAATGGTCACCGCTGACTTTGTGCAGTCGGGGGGAGGGTGTGGTTTGCCACTTTGCCCACGTTTATTTGACCACTGACTGTTTGGTTGTGTGCTTTCCCCCCACAGAGTAATTCCTTGGGGCCGGGACTCAGCAGGACATTCTTTAATAATAATTGGAAGACACAGTACACATTTGTGCTACTTTATCTTAAAGTTCTAATTTAATCCCAAGAGCCATGCCGAAAGGACTCTGTGTGTGTTTTTAAATCATAGCATCTTGATTTTATTTTCCAAATGTACGTGTCAAAAATAATTTTAAAAATTTACAATGAAAACAATCACCCACGTTCCCATCAGGCATGAAATTTATTTTTAAGATGTGAAACTTTATTGTCCTACTCGTTCATATGTATACATAACTCTATATATTTGTTTTCACAGTATAGCTACTTTTGAAGTAAGCTTATTTTACTTAAAATCTCCTAATATTAGCATTTTTCATTTTGCTAACATTTTTCATGACCGTGATATGTTTCTGTTCAATAGATGTATCATAGATTCTAATTATTCCCTCTCTGATGTATATAACTGATCCCTAATTTTAGCTCTTTTAAATCAGTGGCAGGTTTTTATATGTAATATTTTCCGCAGCAACAACACAAAAGGCAATCTGAAGAGCACTTTGCTGTCATAGGAGGCATAGCATATTGGGGTTTCTAAACACAGATTCAGGTCAGTATTATTAGACACGCTCACACCAGGAAAGCTTGATTCTTTCCTTCCAGGGTCAGTGTCTTTGCCTTGCAGCTTTTGAGCAGGTGGGCTAAGGTACACGTGGGCTGTAACTTATTAGCAAATAGACGACACATGCATTAGCTCTCTTCATCTGTTTAATGTCTTGGCAAACTCTAACACTGTAGTTCTTCATTGGGCCTCCCCCTCCAGGGGACACGTGACAATGTCTGGAGACATTTTTGGTTGTCACAACTTGGAAGGGGTTTGCTCAGCATGCCGCAGCGCCCAGGACAGCTCTTGTCACAACAAAGAATGATCCTCCCCAGTGCCAGTAGTGCCAAGGTGGAGGATCCCTGTCTAATCTGTAACTTCCTCCCTGGAGATAATTTTACCCGGAATGAGCTAGAAGGCGAATAGTGTCAGTATCCAATGACAAGAGCGCTAGATGTATAGTGCATAACCTGCTCTGCCATTTCAGCCTGCAGGACTCTGAGTGATGGAGGTTTTCGGAGTCCCATTTCTTCCTCCTATGAAAACTAAGAGAGAGAGCAGTATTAATTCATAGGGCTTCGCTAGCCAATCCATGTAAAGTCCTTAACAGAGAACCTGGCACGTAATGAGTGCTCGATGATACTTTCTAGGTAACCCTGTGTGCACCCACTCCTTTCACTACTTGCCAATCTGTGAAATGGACTCAGGGGCATTTCCTTGGGATTCAGTAAGAGAATATACATGAGTTGTGGAATGCAGGGAAGCCTCCAGGAGACATCTGCTTCTAAAAATTGACATTATGGTCACATCACAGGATTGTAGTGACGATTAAATGAGATGGTGAGAACACCTACAATAGTGCTTTACTCTGTAAATATTTGTAGACAGACTAAGGGAATGGATGAATGAGTGCACGCAGAAATGAATCTATTGATGCTAGTATCAGAGTCTTCCGGAGGGTAGTACTAGATACGAGAATGTTAATTATCGTTCCTCTGTCTCTATGTTAATGTGCTCAGAGCTGTTGCCACTCATCACCATTATATTCCTTTCCTATCACTACTATAACAAATGACCACAAACTTAGTGATTTAAAATTATAGACAAATTTATTATGGTTCTGGACATCAGATATCTAAAATAGGTCAGCAGGGCTGCCTTCCTTCTGGAGGCTCTATGGGAGAATCTGTTTCCTTGCCTCTTTCACCTTCTAAAGGCTGCCTGCATTCCTTGGCTCATGGCCCCTTCCTCTATCCCCAAAGCCATCAACGTCTCATCTTCTCTCCTGCCTCCCTTTTATAAAGACCTTTGCAACAACATTAGGCCCACCCAGATAATCCTGGATCATCTCCTCATCTCAAGATCCAAATTTAATCACACCTGCAAAATCCCTTTTAAATATAACATCTTTACAGGTTCCGGGGCATCATGTCATGGACATCTTTGGGGGGCCCTTATTCTGTCTGCCACAACCATAATATAGAAAGAGCCTTTTTGTAAATACCAAATAAAATAAGCCTTCTGAAAGGCGGGTGTGCCTTGTAGTCTATTTTGTATCCATCATGATCTCAAATACAGTACTTTGCAAAGACGACATGTTATAAAAATTGTGTATTCGTTTTTGCTCTTTGGTTTTCGTTGTAAATTACATACCTTTTTATTATACTTTTTCCTAGATATGTCAGAGGAACCTTTCAATATCTGGGGCACTTGGCATTCAACATTAAAAAGTGGATCCAAAGACCCAGGAATGACAGGTGAGCTCTTATCTTTTAAAGAGTGTTTATTGCATTTGCTTTTAAAATTAATTCCCTTTAATTTTTGCCTTCTTATCATTATATTACATGCTTGCCAAAAATTATTTGGAAAATGCTGAAAATTGGGGGGGGGGATAAAGTTATACTTAGCTTTTCCACCAAAATATGTCAATCTGTGACTATGTTTCATTTTTATTTCCTTTGCAAGAGTTTTTAAACATGGCTAAAATCATTCTGTCAGTGCAACTTTATATTATTTAACTTCCATTTTCCAGTTATTTTCCATTACTACTGGAAAGGGCCACATGGTACTTGAGCGTGCACATTCACAATTTACAGCCCAGGGCTGGGGCAACTGGGTTGTTCCCATTTCTCTGTTGTTTTTCTAATAACTTATGCTGCCAGGAACCCCTTTTCTGTACTTTTTAAAAATTGTAAGTTATTATTAGGGTCACAAAATTTCAGAGAACAAGTTATAAATCCAGAATAAGAAAGCAGGTCAAAGATCATGAACCTTTCCAAGATTTCAGAGGTATAGTCACTTCACGTTCCCTTGTAGGATACGTGAGCTTCTCCTCCGTAAGCTGCAGATGGCGGCGGTATTTCACTGCATCGGCCGTGCCTTTTTAATCTCATCTCTATTTCAAGTCATTGGGTTTGCATTTTGGCCAATTTTAAAAACAAAATTGTATTAATTTTAAAAATTGATTGGGGTGATATGGGTTAATAACATTATATACGTTTCAGGGTCACACTTGTATAATACATCACCTGTATGTTGCATTGTGTGCTCAGCACCCAAAGTCTAGTGACAAAGTCACTCTGTCACCATATATTTGCTCCCCTTTATCCTCTTCAACCTCCCCCTACCACCTCTCCCCTCTGGTAACCGCCATACTGTTGTCTGTGTCTATGAGTTTGTCTTGTTTATTCATTTATTGCTTTCTGTTTTATATCCCACATGAGTGAAAAGGTTCTTGTCCTTTTTCATATGACTTATTGTGCTTAACATGATAGTCCTAGGATCCATCCATGTTGTCACCGATGGCAGTATTTCATCCTATGGCTGAGTAGTATTCCATTGTATTATTTCCATTTTCATTTCTTTCTTATCGGCATTTTCAGTTTTTTTATTAATTAACTGAATTTCCCCCCATTGAATGATCATTTATGTCATTGGCCATTGATGTATGCTAATATTTTAAAAATTGATTCTTATGAACTCTTTCTATAATAAAGATATTAACCCTTTGTCCATATTGTTTGCCACTGATATTATTCCTTGCGTTTTTTTCCACTTTGGCTATCGGGAATGTTTTTAGGTTTCACATAGTTAAGTCTATCAGTATCTCTTTTTGTGAATTCTTTCACAAAATTAATCTTTACTTAAGCATTGAATGGTCCTCTATATGCTTTTCACTTTCATAGTATTTTATTCTTTTAACCTTAATTCTTTAATCCATCTGAAGTATATGTTAATATATACTATGAAGTGTGTAAACTGTTTTTTATTTATATATATATATATATATATATATATATATATTTATATATTCCCATTCTCATTGTTTTGTAATGCCTTCCATATTACATTTTAAAGCACGGCTCACTTTGGATTTCATAGCCTTTAATGCAGCTGACTTTTGTGCTGATCCGCCCGCTCTCTAGCTGTTCTCCTCATTGTATCCTATGATGTGCTAAAGCATTGTCTTTCCTCCCAAGGATCAGCTCTTCTGAAATGTTCTCCACTTTCCTTCTGCTCTTTCAACTCTGAGCTGTCCCTGTCTAAATGCACAGCTGCTCCTCTGCCCCTAAAATGACCTTGTTTTCTTTTTTTTTCTTTGCCTACTTTTTAAGACATGAGAGGAGAGGGCAGATCTATGGGCAAAAGGCAGTCTGGGGACATAGGCCCCAAGAACTCATTTGCTTGGGAAATGCACGGTTTCACTCTCCCGCCGGTTTTCTGAAGCAGGTTTACAAGCCGGACCAGTTCGGGAAGGCTCATTACTGTAATAACGAGCCCCTAAACAGCAGTGGTTTCGCGTGTGACTTTCCCCCACGTCACAGCCCCGTGTGCGCTGTGCAGGGTGAGGAGGGGTGGGAGTGCTCTGTCCCACATGCGACACCCCCAGAGGCGTCCTTGTCGCCCACGGTTTCTGTATCCCAGGCTAGTCGTTGGGGGTGGGGGGAGGGAGGCGGCAATAGAGACTAGGGTTTTTTATTATTAAACTAGGCCCAGAAATAGTTCGCATCACTATCACATCTCTTCTCATTTGTTGGTCAGACATCCTTTATGTGGCCCTCCTGACTGCAAAGGAGGATGGGAAATGTCACCCAGAAGGAAAGGGGAGGATGGGTGAACAAAGAGCCAGGCTTTCCCACAGCAGTGGCGATAGAGTGTACACACCAGCTGCTGCGTTCATTATCTTCTGGCATGCAACAGGCGTTTTAGATTCAATTCATTTATTCCGACAGCTTTTATTGACTTGGTAGAAACATGAAAACATTATAATTTGTGTCTCCTCTGGATTGCAAATTGCACTGAACAGGAGTGGAACAGAACAGTGTTCACAGCCAGGTAGAGGGGGCGTTTTCGGAAACATCAATTAGTGACAAGGGTTGTTTCACCTCGTTTGCCAGCTGACCTGTCAGAGTCTGGGCATCTGTATTGGGAGCTGCTACAGGAATTCTGTCAATAATCAAAAAGTTTCTGTCATTTCTCTTACTAGGAAGTCGTTTACATAGGCGGCGGTGGCTAAGAATATCCTTTGCTTTTCCAATTTTCGAAACTGGCAGGGGAAGGAAATAGCAGGACATCCCAGCAGGGGCGCTGTAAACTAATTCCGTGTCTTGCCCTTCTCTGTGGCTTCCAGGTTCCTATGGAGACATTTTTGAAAGCAGCTCCCTACGGCCGGGGCCATGCTCCCTTTCTCAAGGGAACCTGTCCCTAAATTGGCCTCGGTGGCAGGGGAGCCCCGCAGAACTGGACAGCGGTACGCAGGTCATTCGGAGGACTCAGACCGCGGCCACCGTCGCGGAGTGCCGAGCCCACCCTCCTGTGTCCCGCGTCTGCAGCACGCCCCACATCCAGGGCAGCAGCAGGAGGTCAGAGGCGGCCACGCCAGGGTCGGAGCAGTATTTGACTCTGAGCAGCGCCGAAGACCTCACTGAGAGCGAGCTGGATGTGGCCCGGCTGCAGAGCCGAGCCAAGCCTTCGCACCAGAGACCTCGCGAGAGTGTGAGGCATGACAACAGGCCTCCTCCTCCTTATCCGGGTCCGGAAAAGCAAGCTTTAGCGTCGGCCCACCAGCCAGCGGAGCCCCCGTTGTGGAGGCGTCAGCGGCCAGAAGAAAGCTCAGGATCAGCTCCGGAAGAGGGAAGCCAAACAGCCGAGCGGGAGCACCAGGCTGCCCAGCCCAAACTGAGCAGCGCCTGCTCCAGCCCCGCCGGCGATCAGAACAGTAAGGCCTCGGGTGAGCCCAACTGGCTCGATTGGCAGAGAGAGCGGTGGCAAATCTGGGAGCTCTTGTCCACCGACAACCCCGATGCCCTCCCGGAAACACTGGTATGAGCCCACACCCAGCTTGAGCCCTCACCTCCCAACAGCCTTCCTCCACTCGGTAGGGAAAACAGTTGGTGTTGGACAATTGGACACTTACTTACTTTTCTTCTTCTACACTTAAAAAAAATAACACGAGAGAAACCCAGTTCACTTAAAGATATAGAGCACTAGTACCCTCACCAGTTAGAATAAGATTCTATTGCATAGCCAGCCTTAGGGAAATACAAAAACATAAACTGATGGCAGTCTCCATTATAAAAAACTACTCACATTGGCTTTAAGATCAAACTCGCGCTTTGGTAGAGCTTAATTGTATTTATGTGTCTTCAGTTTTGACTCTTGTATATTCTGTAACAGATTATGTATGATAATCGTATATAATATAGTCACAGAAAACAAAAGGAACCATTTTTTAATCACTTCACGTATGCTAAGCAAGGAGAGTCTATAGAATGTTCTATATTATGCACAAGCGGGTTTCTGTGCTTTTGTCATAGCTTTTTAAGAGGGACAGCCCTTCCTTCAATGCCTAAGAAAAACACTAACGAAACAAAATAAGACAGAATATGAGAAGCCATATTTTTATATAGTGGAGAGATACAAAAAATATAGTCACTGATTGCCTTTTCATATTGAATATGTTTTAAAGAAAATATTAAGTTTGATATGTTATGGAGTATATTTTTAGAATCTGTTTAGAAAGGATTCAGTTAATCAAACAGGAGAAAGGCCGTGCCTGACAAAGAAAGTAATTAAGTTGTCCTTCCCATTGTAGGTCAAATTCAATTTTATATAGACCATATATAATATATATTTATAATGTGTAATTTTTATGTATTTTACAAACCCACAAACTGGAATCCTACTATCAAGTGATTAAGAATCTAAATAGAGTATTCAAATTCAAGAACATGGTTTTTCCTTCTGCCCCATAATCAGTATTAACCAAATTATATGCAATGCTTTGAAAGTAAATCATATTTGGAGAAGAACTACAGCTTTGTATTTACATTGTACCAAAGGCTGAGGAAATGTTCTCTTCAGTAATTTTGTGTGTAGTGTAAAATGCTCCTACCGTACTTCAGTAGTTACGTTTGAAGTTTTTCAAGTGCAAAACTATTTTTGACCAGCAGGTGGCGATTCGCTTCAGTATTTTATGTGATTTTTTTTCACTTCATAAGCGAATGTGTATCATAGAAAAATAATTTTTTATAAAACATGCTACTCTTAATTTTCATGTTGGCAATGACATTTTCAGTAGTGTTTCTTAAAATTCTGTCTTGTGCCATGAGGAATAAAAAGTTAAGCAAAGACATGTTCCTTGGTGTTAAATTCAATGAGTGAACTCACATCCCGTTCCATACATACACCCCACTATCCACAAGTCCAAGTGTAATAAAAATGGCTATACTATACATATGCAACTAAGGAGCTCGTAAAAATGTGATGGCTTGGGGACATCAACCTCACGACACTGATGAACTTAGAAATTTATAGTTATTTGTTGCAAGTGAAGGAAGGCTGTTAGTCACTCATTTGAAACTCAGATGTTGATGAGGAAGTAGTTTGTCGTAGGACGGGAACTCAGGGTTCTTACCTGCTAGACAGGTATTGCCCAACGAAAGCCCTGCAAGTTATATCTGCCTATAGGCCTTGGAGGCTTAATTTGCTCCCAGGTGGAAATAATGAAGTCAAGAGCAGTATCTACTTTCCTTATGGGGGGAATGACGGACAAAACTTCAGTCTCTGCCATTGGGTCCAGCACTTCCACCACTGCCTGGGACTCGGGAAGAATTTGCCTGCTGGCTTCCGGTTCTTCCTGGCTACCCAGACGCAGCCAAAAGCTGTAAACAAGACCCAAAGCAAACACTACTTGATTATGAATCACGGATTGCTTTCCTGTGCCACCTACTCTCGCCCTACTCCTGCTGACCCTGTGGTTTCTAGGCTTTGAATTTGAAGACGGCCTGGCCAGTTCTTGCCCTCCATTCTAGGCTGGACCGGCTGGTATAGGGGACCCTCTTCTCATCAGGTTCTTGCCCTAACAGTCCTATTTTTTAAAACTTCCAGACCAAATGGCACTGAGGTTGACATCTGTGTCGCAAAAGATCACAAAAGGTATGTCCATGTGTTAATAGTCAGATCTACAATAGCCAGTGTGGAAAACAGGGCTCAAAACATTTTTAAATAATTAAATTGTGTGTGGGGGGGGGTGGGGGGGTGCGTGTGATGAACAATATTTACTCTCCCTTTCTCTTTGTGCGGTTGAAGCCCAGTGGCGTTAGCTTACTGAGTGAAAGCTAGTTTCTTAGATGCCTTTAGCACATGAAAAATAAGCTGTTTTAAAGCACACACACAAGACCCAAGAACCTGAGTGGAAACTGAAGTCATTTCTAACACCTTGTAAATTATATAATACCTGACGAGAAAAAAATAAAACTCCAGCTCTTTCAGGTTGGCTCAACCATTTAACAGGCTGTTCAAGTCCCTCATTCCTGTGAGCAAAGAGATCCTACAAGCAAGAAGACAGCTACAGCACGCTGCGGCTGCCTCTGCATCTATGAAGACTCGATCATTGCTTTGTGTCTGGCAATGGGACCAGGATGATGGTGGCAGAAACGGCCCAATATGAATTTGTCTTGATCCATCTAAGTAGCTATTAACATACGTTTGTTGTGGTTTTTTAATAGAAAAAAAAAATCTCTTATACCAATGGAGTTTGTGCAAATTGAGGAAATTTCTAAATAAGCCCAGCTTGCTTCTTTTCTTATGCACATTTTAATACACATCTGCTTGGCAGAGAAACGGCATGGGGGTTAAATAGAAGGAGATGTTAGAACAAAGTCCAGGCCTGTGGTGTATGTCGACTGATAAGCAAACCGAGAAGAAAGGAAATGACTGAAGAAGAGTCACACAGAGATTAAAACAGGACAACATCTTGACTGTACAGAATTTTAAAGCAGGAGTAAATCAGCAGCAAATGTTCTTCAAGAGGAAAAAAAAACACAAACCAAAGGAAAATTCCATTAAAGGTTGGAATTCTTCCACATAATCAAGGTGACTGATGGCGTCGTGATGTTGAACTGCAGGCAGCGTTGTCTGGGGTGTGGGCCCCAGGCCTGGCATGGCCTGCAATTCACCAAGGCACAGGCAGCACCAGCCCCAACTGACGGTGCCGGGGGTCACAGAAGGGTCAGAAGAGTCTCTAAATTCAATGCAGTCGGCATCAGGCTAGAGTGACCAACTCCTCCCCCTTTGTCCAGGACAGCCTGGGCTTATTCATAAAAGCCCCGTGACTATCCTCACTTTCTGGACGGCACGAAGGACTCAGAATGGCATCAAACGGGTAGTCCGTGGTCGCACAGCTAGAAGGTGGCAGAACCAGGCTTTGGCAGCGGGCCACCCAGCTGTGGCAGCCTGCCATCTGGATAATTCAGAGCAGAATGAGCAAAGCCCTGCGGGCCTTGGATCCTGGGCCTCGCTCATGAAGGAAAGGGGCTCAGCTGAACCTGCTCCAGGGGAGGGCCCATGCCTCTGGGATGCCCACGGATTTGCAGGGCCCCTTGCAGCCCCTGGGCCCTCCTGCCTCCTTCCCGCTGAGAAAGAGAAATGGAAGCTACAAGTAATAAAGGCCCAGAGTAAGTCTGATTTCTGGGCAGTTTTGGGTAGCGAAGCCATGGGATGAGAAATGGATGCGATTTAGCAATTGAACTTTCCCAGCTGAACTACAACGAGTAATTTTACCATGTACATATCTACTAATTATAATTGGTTGCACTTAATTATAGTCTAGCATTGTCTTTAGATTTTCCTTTATTTCACACAGCTACAACAGCCACCACTGAGTTCCTTAGATAAAAGGATTGGTTGAGGGATTCAGCCGGTCATCTATGCAATCACTATTTACCAGGGGGTCCAGGGCTGGGTTCTGGGTTTGCAAGGAGAGAAAACAATCCAGACCGGCCTTTGAGGACTCCTCAGTTCAGAAAATGGTCGTTCCTGTGACCTGCACTGCAAGGATGGCAGCAGATAATGCAAAGTGCCACATGTGGATGCAACAAATACTCGTGTCCTGGTGGCTGGTACCTGGTAGGCAATCTATAAATCAATGAATAAATAAATCAAAACATGAACCCCTCCTTCCCTCCTCTATTCACCCACCTACCCACTGTTCGTTCCATCTATCCATCCATCCATCCATCCACTTTCCTCCTCCTGTACTCTTCTTCCTCTCTGTTTTTCTGCCACATTTTTAATCTTACTTCCAAGTCACCATTTTTCTGGTGTTATCTTTTAATGGGTCTGGTTCTCCCACCTGGTTCCAAGATTTAAAATGTTGGGCAAATGAATCAAAAGGAGGGAAGGGCCTTTTGGTGCACACTAGGGTTGGGGGCAAAGCTGTTTCCTGTTTCCATGGAAACAAGATGTCCACACTTGCTTAGAAAGTGCAGGGACGTGAAAAAAACCTTCCCCCTGCCCTCTCAAGTTCCCTGCTTGGGGCCTTCAAATTAAACCGATGAAGACAGTGTAACAGAGAGAAGGGTTTATTTCCTAGGCATAACAGAAGCCAATAAAAAAGTATCTGGCTCCTTAAAATGCTTACAGTTAAAGGTTTGTATATCTAACTTAGTAGGGAAAAGAGAGTGGAGAGAAACAGCTTCTATGAGATAAACAAATAGGTTTATTGAAGAAAGATAAATAGGTTCTTAGGAGGACAGATGGGTGATAAGAAAGTGTGTGATAATGTTTGTCTATACAGGTGTGAGTGGTTTTTCTGTCTCCTTCTGGACCATAAAACTCTCCGAGCAGGCATCTAGGGTACCTTCATTTCCCAGAAGCTGCTGCTTTTAGTCAGATAAGGAAGCTCCTAAAAGGCTTTTTTCCTGCATCTGTTGAATCTCAAATGTCTTCAGCTTAAAATAGTCTTGGTGCCAGCTCTAGGGGTCCAAGCGGGTCTTCACAGGGTAAGATGAATTAGAGAAGGAATTAAAAACATGCTTTCTCCAGCCGGAAAGAAATGTGGTGAGGGGGGCTGGGTAAAATAAAGGGAAGGGATTAAGCAAAAACAAAAGACACAGGCAGCGGTGTGGTGATTGTCAGAGGGAAAGGGAGTTAGGGAAGGCGGAAGAGGTCAAAAGGCGGGTAAATGGTGACGGAAAGAGACTTGACTTTGGGTGGTGAGTGCACAATGCAGCGCGCAGCTGATGTCTGGCTGAGTGGTACGCTTGAAACCTGTATGGTCTTATTACCCGATGTCACACCAAAGAATTTAATTTAAAACAAAAACGAAGAAAGGGAGCAGCGTACACAGCATGAAGTAGACGTTTTACCTCTTATACAAATGGCATGGAATTTTGTGTAAGATACGATGGCTTCACCTCCACCGCAGCAGTAAATATATCATTTCTGTTACGGAGGGGACAGATGACTGATACACAATGCTTTTGTCACTGAACGCAGCCAGTTGGGGGCTGGGGCCCTACCTATCCCCTGGTCCAGAGATCCCTAACAGAAAGGGGTTCTAGAATGGAAGGTGGCCTTCACACAAGGGGCAGAGTCCAAGTCAGTTGGCTGTCCCTGGAAAGTAGCATGCGTGGTCTGCAAAGGGTGGCACTGCTGGACAAGGTGGCATCCTTGCTGTATTCTAGAGGTGACAACTTTGGCAAGAGGTTTAGAAGGCACAATCAGAACCATAACAACTAAATGACAAGGTTAGAGACGAATCCTACAATGTCCCACATTAAAAAAGAGTGGCTTCCTTGGAGGAATGTGTGCAAGGCATGGCACGCCTGCCCAACGCTCCTTTGCCCTCTATACTTAACCTAGGCTGAGGGAAATATTCTGAGATGACCCCCTTTAACGTGTCTGGGCCCTTTCTATTCAGACCCTTAGGGCAGAAAAGGAAAGCAGCTTTAAGTGAAGCCGGCAGACCACCCCATACTTTTTAACTCAGCCACTTAGTCCAGCCAAACCGTTGAGTCTCAGGAAGCTGCAATGCAGGTGGACTTCTCCCTTCCACTGTGTTGTTTATTTCAGATGTTGCGTTCTTTATTCCTGACTGGTCTTTTTTTTAATGGCGTATGTCTTTTCATGCTGTTGAGTGTCCTTATAATCATTACTCTAAAC